TTTTGCACACTCACGGATCGTCTGTGCACGGGATAGCTCTGTCCACTCGGAGAATCACAGAAGACAATAGCACTTTAGCTATAGGCAATGCTTTCTAGAGCTTGTGCTCATTCTTGAGCCAAACGTTGCATGGGCGGTCATACTGAAAGGATGGATAGGCATTGCGGTGTGCGTAGCACTACCACAAGCCTACTCCTAGAGACGAGGGACGCGTAGCGTGCCCCCTTCCCTTGCACTTTACACGGTCTTGCTCACAGCTCTTATAGTGACACCTTAGAACTTGACAAGGCATCGCAGTCCGTTCGCATCCACTACAGCTGCTATTACTGCTAGTGCTACTGCTACTAATAGCATTTCTACGCCTGCCCAATACGAGGTCCAACATCACGAAAGTACTGCAACTCACGAGTAAAACGGCTCTTCTGGAGGTATTGTTCGGGTCTCTGCGAAGCAATGTCGTCATCATCTCCTCCCCTACCCCCCCCACCCCACCCCACCCCACCCAAAAAGCAAGTCCAAAATCGGAAGCGCGAGTTTTGCAAACTCGACAATTCGATTTTGAGGCTTCATAAGATGTTCCTACATGACGAAAGTACTGTAAATACTGAGTAAACAGGATGTGTTCGAGAAGAGTATTTAGGAGGGGTGGTCGGTAGGCGCGGGGGTTCGCACACCGCGACTACTGCCACTACTACTACTACTACTACTACTACTACTACTACTACTACTACTACTACTGCTGATACTAATACTATATACTACTACTACTACTACTACTACTACTACTACTACTACTACTACTACGACTACTACTACTACTACTACTACTACTACTACCGCTACTACTACTACTACGACGACTACGACTACGTTTACGACTACGACTACTACTACTACTACTACAACTTCTTCTTCTTCTACTTCTACTTGTGCTTGTACTTCTACTTCCACTTCCACTTCTACTACGCTGCCTGCGAACACGAATACGACCACGTACTACCACGACCACCACCACCACCACCACCACCACAAGCAGCACTACCCCCTGTCAGCACCACTACCACTACGACACTACGACAAGCACCAACACCGCCACCCACAATCGTCTCCTACCTCCTACTTTGGTGCCTCCAACAAAAAGCTCTAGTAGAAAGCCTGAACATACCCAGATTAGAGCCCTACTCGAATCGTTAAGCCACTACTCGGTGCGCCGTTGGGAGAAGTTCGGAGAACAGCTCAGGAGCTAAGGGCTTACAATTCAGAGTTTGCCCTTCACCCACAAAACTTATACTGTTTGTGCTCCTGGGTATGGAAACCCCCATAATCCCTGAAACGAATGGGTTTCTGGGTTGCTGGTATGTGGCGTTTGGGAAAACGTCGGGTTTGGAAGAAGCTCGCAGTTTGGGGTTCGGGCTGGGCGTTTGGGACCTGGCATGAAGCGCTTGAGGCTCGAGCTTTAGGCTTTGGGGTTTAATAGATAGATGTGGCATAGGGTTTAAGTCCAGATATAACTCACTACTGCGTCTGAGTAAAGATTGTCCAAGGGGTACTTATGCGCTGAAAGCCGTTCACACAACATACGTACATATAATGTATTCCATATGTATATACATGTGTATGCATGTGTATATATACATATATATATATATATATATGTATATATGTATATATGTATATATATATATGTGTGTATGGACATAGCAGTATATATACATATACATATACATATACATATACATATACATATACATATACATATACATATACATATACATATACATATACATATACATATACATATACATACACATATACATATACATATACATATACATATACATATACATATACATATACATATACATATACATATAGAGAGAGAGATACATATACATATACATATACATATACCACCGAGAGAGAGATACATATATATATATATATAATACCACCGCCACCACCACATTCACCTGGCAAACCCCACCCACACCGTCCATTGTAGACGTGCTTGGATCTACTCGATAAGGCACGCAGCAGCAATAGTAGAAGACATCAGAGTTACTGTATGTTCACAGAGACGATTTTCACACTGGCAGTGTCGTCCTTAATCTCCCAGACGCTTTCGCCGGTGCACTTAGCGAGTCGACCGGAGAAACGGCAACAAGCCTGATCGTTCTGATGACTGTGGATTGTCTTGTCCTGCGCTTAGCCACGGTGGCTCGAGCTACACCAACGACCTTTCAAAAGACAGCACAGCAATGTTGTTGTGTCGTGATTGTGAGTGAGGCTACTGCAGTCATTGCTGCTTTCGTTAGCAGACCTTCGAGGACATCCACCTCGGAAGGAGTTCGTCAGAAGCAGATATGGTTTTGCGTTTGTCTTTGAGGGGCAGGGCCTGCAGTTGTGCTCTCGTTTTGCTTCCCGCCTTACTTTTTCAAAACTCGGAACACATGCTGCTTGAGGACCGTCTCTATCCGCGGCACCCCGTTCGTGCCATTGATCCGAGGTCAATGTTGGCCTCCGCCCGTGACCCACCTTAGCAAAATACTGAGCTCCTGCTGACTCATGAAGGACAGCGCCACGAAGCTACCTTCTTGCGGGATTGGTTTGCGTGGCCGTTGAACGTGAGAATCGGTGGCAGTGAAGTGGATGATGAAACCCTCATGCTTTCATCTTCTCGTTTCACGTCAGGCGTAGATGCATAGATGTCGAAAGTCGTACGCAGACCTTCTGAGCCTGTCCTGTCTGAGGGATTCCTTTCATCGCCAAAAGGTGGAGTGCGGTCATCGATCTGCAGAAACAGCTTATTGAAGCCTAAGAGACTTCGGCTGTGAAAGTGGAGCTTTCTGACCCTCTGACCTTCCCAGGAGGTCCACATGTCGGGAAAGCCGTGCACAAAGACCAGCGGCCGCTTCGGTCCACGCCGTCCGAAGCCGGCACCTTCCCGGGTCGGGCACCACTCTCTCCTTCACTAGTCCCTTCTCAAATCTTCCAGCCTTCTACAGCGTGCAGTCGAGTGCCATCCGCTGAAATGAAGTAAACGTCCTGCAGCCACGAGACGCCCGAAAACGACGGAACTTCCGGCCCATGGCCCTAGGATTCACCCGCGCGAGGTGTTCCTGAGGGCTGTAAGGGGAGCACGAAGCGACGCAAGTGTGGATTTCTGGTTCCCTCATGCACACTCACATTAGCGACATGCATTGTGTTGGCCGGCACTACTACTACTACTACTACTACTACTACTACTACTACTACTACTACTACTACTACTACTACTACTACTACTACTACTACTACTACTATTTCTACTACTTCTACTACTTCTACTATTTCTACTTCTCTTCTTCTAGTACTACTACTTCCACTTGCACTTCGACTTCGACTTCTGCTTCTACTTCTGCGACTGCTACTACTGCTACTACTACTTCTACTACTACTACTACTGCTACTACTGCTACTGCTGCTGCTACTGCCACTGCGACTGCTACTGCGACTGCGGCATGCGGCCACGGCCGCCACTGTCACTGCTACCTACCGCTACTGCCCTATTCCTACTCCAACTCCAGCTCCTCCTCCACGACGACGACTATACCACTACTTCTAGCGTTGCAATTTCTTGTACGTAGGCATGCCGGTGAATATATACCAGGTACAGTGTAACGAAGGACTGTCTATGTCGAGGGTAGCTGCCATGGGTACAGGTGCAAGCCGCAGCACTAACAGCATACTACAGCCCTATCATTCCACTGCTACCAGCAATAAGCTTGAATTCGTGTTGCTAACAGTAACAATGACATGTACGATGGCTATCTCAGCTACGAATACAATTAGCCACATGGGCACTCACAGTCAAAGCATCGGTAGCAGAATGCGATTCCAAAAATTTAATTGCAATACTTACTACAATGCTGTGGAGCAAGGCTTCTCCTGTGGACACTACAAAACAAGAATAGTAGTGATCGCAACGAAGAAGACGACAACGATTGAAAAGGTAAGCTTTACCACAGCCTCAAAGCCACTGCCCAAGGCGGCAGCGTCCAAACCGGTGGATGGAGCAGCGAATCGCTTCGGGCGGCCCCGGCGCCAGAGAGCCCGCCCGAAGAGGCCTGTCATTACGGGTATCCTTTCGGCGAATACTGAGAGAGTGCGGCTCCTACAACAACTACTACTACTACTACTACCACGACTACTACCACTACGACTACTACTACTACTACGACGACTACTACTACTACCACTACTACTACTGCTAATACTAATACTATATACTACTACTACTACTACTACTACTACTACTACTACTACTACTACTACTACTACTACTACTACTACTACTACTACCGCTACTACTACTACTACTACGACGACTACGACTACGTTTACGACTACGACTACGACTACTACTACTACTACTACTACTACTACTACTACTACTACTACTACTACTACTACTACTACTACTAGTAGCGCTATTGCTACTACTACCACGACGACGATGCCGCCGACGACTATGGGCGTTCGTATCTTCACTTTGAGCAATGTCGTTTTGTCGTTGTTAATAGGATGTTCGGTTGTTCCAGTTCGAATGCGGATCTGTCAAGTCAACGCTGCTGCTCATGCGTCAGGCTCCACTGCATAACTTAACACAGGGTTCTGCTTCTACAGGACAGCTTTCGCAGAGGTCCCAGTAAGGGTTGCTACAAGAAGAAGACTGACAACCGCATTACCAGCTTCATCTTAGTTTGACGCGAAGTGTGATGAGGCACAGGGCAGCCGCAGAAGCCCCGCCAAGCAGCCCACGGTCGCCGTGGTGCTTGCCAGAAGGCAATCCGACATGGCTGGAAACGTTTGTAACGTCAAGATGCGAAGCACAATATTGGATTCCAACAGAGCATCACTTGTTGTCAAGACTTTCGATCCGACACAAGACTAATGGCTTACACCACGCAAATGCCATCACAATGATATCACCACACTGACAGCCAAACCGCTCTTCAGAGCTAGGTGCAACAGGTGAACATCGCCGAAGGTCTGTGAAGCTCCAGCAATTTTGTGACAGTCTTCTGAGGCTGAGGCTGAAGGAACCCAGAAGCCGCGGACTGGACTGTCACGGGCTGGACCATTCTGGGGCCAACTGTCTGGCACATCCAGCCAGTCTGGCCCATCTGGCCCATGGCCTGACCAACCGGCTCCTGGCAGAAAAGGACCAAACGGCTGTGGCTGGGCTTTTCACCCGTTCCGGAGCAACAGTGGTCATTACACACCTGCGGATACAACAAAGAGACAGACGCGCCGCGTCCCACGTTCCCATTAAAGCACACGCATTAAGTCTCAAAATGAGCGGCATTGCACGGCGAAACAAGTTGACCCCTTGTGAGACTTTGTGTCGCTGAGAACGCGGAGTATCCTGTGCTACCATCGACGGCGTTCAAGGCTGTTTGGAGATGTGTCCAAGCCAAAGGTCCCGTCTACATGGTCGGCTGCACAATCCTGGTCAAAAGCCCTTACCATCACGGCTGTTGCATTCAAAACTCTGAGTTCTATCTTCCTTGTTTCACAAGTCAAAGCAACCCAACTTCCCTGGATCTATGCCTGCTGATAGTTGGGCGCGAGGTTCACCGTGGTCACCTTGCATTGCCGTGTGCACATGTGCGCACACAGTCCGAGATCCTAGGAAATCACTAGGAATTGTTAGAACCCAACAGACCAGTCGTGAAGACGGTGGCGATTGTTGGCGACTCTGCATGCTGTCAACCAGCTGGCAGGACAGGGGTGTAAGAGCCGGACCACGGGGGCCTCATTGGACACGGAATGCTCCGTGACGACGGCGGAAACTTCCACCTGACAGACTGATCGAAGCAGCCATGTTGGACTTGGGCATTTGTTCATGGCTCCAGCTCTCACCGGTACTCCGAAATCATGTGCCCAAGCCCCTGCACAACTTCCTCCCAAGCTGGTTGTCAATAAGATTCGCTCGTTTGAGTTCCACACTTCATGGCTCGGGAGAGCAATCTGACGAACGGAAGCCACAGGAGCTTCATAAATGCCTCGCACAAAGGTTTGCAGACAGGTGGGAAAGGACATGTAAGTATGCGTAGGATATGTGTATAAACAAATCACTGATTCTGCTCCCTGTTTGTGCCACAACTCACAAGACGTAAACATACACGTGAAAGTGTTGGAGGTCACCTGCTCACCCCGCATGGTCAGGCTGGGTATGTGATGAGATTCCAGGAAAGCTGTGCGCTTTTGGTGTTTCTAAGTCAGTTGGTTTTCGCTTTGTTGGTTTTAGGTTTGATGGTTTGATCCTTTGGTGTTGTTGGTGTTGCCTTTGCGTTTTGCTTACTTGGCATAACATAATGCAAGCAGGAGGACATTTGAAGGGAATAATGCAACAAAGCCCCTCAGCATTGTCGTCAATAATGTCGTTCGCTCTCGAGGAGCAACACCTGAAATATACTCGACCCTAATCATCACACTGCTACGCGGACCGTTTCTAGTTACAATCCCGAACCCCTTGGCTAGCAGTCTGAGCGGAAGTACCTACACGTCAGACCCAAAAAAAACCCTCCCTAAACCAAACCCGGGAAGCTCCCGAACCCAAACCCTAATCCCAGAGCCTTGAACTCTGAACACTCCAACTCCTAAACACAACGGAAAGCCGCTCGTTCTCAGAACTTTCATTAAACATAACCTCCAAATACACTGTAAACTCGAAAATCCCTAAACCCTAAAACCCTGAACCCTGCAAACCCTAAACCCTAAATGCCCCGAACCCAAAAGAACCCAAAACATAAGAAACTTAAGTTCTTGAGACCCTACACCCAAAAACTCTGAGCCCAAACACCAATACCCTCACAGGCTTGAAGCCTGAATCGGTTTTCTTTAACCACCGGTGGTGGTGGTGCTTGACATGCTGTTATGCTTGGATCGAATCCAGCATCATCGAGTTGCGCGTGCTTGAATTGTGTGGCCTGGGTCGCATTTGATTTGAAGCGAAGCTCTGGAATCGCGGTCTGTGTCTGAAGCCGCTTTTATCAACTCTGTGTACGTGTGCGTGTGTGTGTGTGTGTGTCTATGTGACGATGAGCGTGTGCACTTACTGCGCATAAACAATTATTGTAGATGGCGCATACACATACATAGACACATCTTCATACATGCCTATGTGCATCAACTCCCGTAGATCGACATTGTGACAGGGACGATATCGGAGGGTTACACAGGGTTTTGAACGGATGCAAGGCTGTGGGATTGGATGATTGGATTTGAAGTCGATGAGGTGCCGTTCACGCTGCGTAACACGGAAACGGACTGGCACTAGTTCAGGAGTCTTGCAATGTTGACCTCTACTTCAAACATGCTCTTGCGATCCTGACCGAATGTCTTCTTCTTTTGAGGTGTCAATACATTGCAAACAGTTGGTTTGGTCGTGCTTCTCCCGGAAGGCAGCAAACAAGTTAGTTTCTCACTCGGGCCCGTGAAGGGGCTGAGAAAGACTGTACTCACCTGTGTGCCTTCAGCAAGGTCCTACAAAGAGCTCACAAAGTACCGAACCTCTACATTGTAAGATGCTTCAGAAGTCTATGGAAGTCTGTAACCCTCGCACCAAGCAAGTGTTGGATGAGCAAGATTACATGGGATAATCTGTCGAGTCAGGCAGCATAGCGTCTGAAATGTCTCACATCGCGTATATCCCTTGTCAAGAACCACAGAAACAGGAGGCAAACAACAGTCGTTCCTGTAGCTGTTCATCGTATCCTAGTACTACGCTGTACCACTCCACTGCTGGAGCCTGTTCAACGGACTTGAGCTGTCGATGACATAGGAGTACTGCGGTCTCGCAGTGCTATCCTAAGTGTTTTTGGAATTGAGGATACTCGTTTGCAACTCTCCTGAAACCTTTACAAAACTCAACACTAGCTACTTGTAGCCATTGCCCCTATAAAGCACTTGCAAGTAATCGTTACTGAGTCCTGCATAAAGGATTTCAGTACATCTAACACGCGCCGCAAACACGACTTGATCAGCTGTCAAGAAACAGCCTGGACAGTGTGTTCCGGTACCCAGATGGGCAAGCAGCACGATTGCTGCACTGTGTAGACTGTCACAGTACCCATGTTGTTGGATCGGCATGTTTATAGACACTGTCGCATTCAATCTTGCTGTGTTACTCAAAAATTGTATGCTGTATAAATCTCCTCTGATTATGTTCACCTCGGATGCTTTGCACGACACGAAAACCAGAATACAAACATGTGCTGGACTGGACATACTGGACACAAAGCTGCCAACTTCAGAGGTTTACTGCATTGTTCAGCCTAGGGCTGTGTGTCTTCCCCGAATCGCCTCCATGCTCAGCTTCTGCCGTTCCAGAAACAACTTCCTTGCAAAGGTGGCATCTGCAGATTCTCCAGGTTCTTGGGGTTTCCTGGTCTAGCTAAGGATTAATGGGAACCGAGAGCTTGGCATTCTGAGGTTTAGGCATTGAGCTTCTATAGTTTCTTCGCAATTACAAGAAGACATGTCTGATTCAAGGGGCCTCAGTTGCGAGTTGCGAAACTTAGTTGCCTGCCTCCTTCGTCGCACTTCGCTGATATTGCCGGCCTGCTCAAGTCGCTAGCAATGCACGCCCACAGCGTCCGCATGCCAATCAATCAATGTAAGATATTCAGTTAATGCAGCTGCTTCCACAACTCGCTTTCTGTTTTGCACTATACTATGTGGGCTACTGTCACTGCTGGCAGACATAACCTCGAGTTCACGACTTCACAAGTTCTCTCATGTACACCTGGCCTGTCTGGATGATCCTCTGCTGCATTGGACCCGAAGCTTGCTGTCGAATCACTTCGTGCTGCACCACCTGATGCCAAGTTCAGCAGCATGGTTCAAAGTTGAAACAGGCTTCGCAGGACATCAAGCAATCGAGGAGCCCAGCAGGAGCAATGCAGAAGAGTCCCTCATGTTGACCATGCAAATTCATGCCTGTCATACAAAGGAAAAACGACTCGGCCTTTGGGACCTCCACAGCAGTCTCTCGAACCAAGTTCACTGGCACCGGCACGACCTTCTTGCCAGAGAGCAAGGCAAAGCTATGGCTCCACCTCACCATACCTCACCCTAGCCGGACCTGCTGAAGAGCGCAAGAGTGCAATGCAATTTGCAGTCAGAAAGTGCTTCTGGAAAGTGGCACTGCTCAAAAAATTCGCATCTTACTTATGCACTTCTTTCCCGACCTTCTCGACCACTTTGGTCTCGACGATCCTGGCTTGCACGTTGCTTTGTACGAACAATAGCCCGTCTGGCCAAGCAAATCAGAAGTCAACCATGATGCCAGAACTATATGCATCCTGTCAACCAATTCCCTCCAGCTGTTGTGCAACCATGCGACCAGGACTCTCAGGACTCTCAGCACTTACGGGAAGCAACATTCAGCCGGCATTGCTTGGGCACGTGCTTCTGCACAACTTGCTTCTGGTAGTTCGGCACCTGCTTTCACTGACGTTTCTATGATACACTCACGGCTCCACCCGCGGCTCTGCTCCGATTAATGGCTGTCGCCTCCTTCACAGCCTGAGCTACCTGAACTTGTGGAACATGCCGTAATCTCTCTTCGTAGAAGACCTGGCAACAACTCACACAAGCGATCCTGCTCTGCACAGGGACGTTATTGCCAAAAGTCGATACTGTCGTAGCCCGACCTGGGGAACCTCTACTATTCTTTCCTCTGGCTGGAGGATCAGTTTCGGCACCTGCAGAGGATGTCGAGGTGGCACCACCAATCGGACAGAATTCGTTACACTGCCTCTTTGTCCACCATCTCCACCTCAGGCTTGGGGACCTTAGAGACATCGTCACGGCATGGGTCCCGTGGGGTCCCGCATTTGTGTGATTTGTGGCAAGCTTAGATGCCCACCTGGACCATCAATTCTGCAATCTGGACCTGGGGCACTTCGACGGGGCGCTCCTGAAGCCGAAAACGACGAGTCTCTGCGGCATAACTCTGCACTGACACTTAAAGCTCGCCGAAGCACAGGTCCTGTGTCAGTGTCACAGGCACCTGGCGAAGCCAAATGGCTGAAGCAGCGTCTGCTTTCCTTTGAGAAAGAGTCTCAGGATGTGCCTCAACGACCTTCTCTTGCGGTTGCAGAACAACCTGTCAACAGAGATCACAAGAGTTTGAAACTATCTGGAAGCGGGATGCCAGACTTCCCTTTCTGAAGAAGGATGTGCTAGAGGCAGGACTTCACAACAAACCGTAGCGGGTTGCAGCGCCTTGGCCCTGAAGGCTACTCGATTCTGGTTTGGTCGACTGCGCGTAGCACTCTTGAGCCCCGCTATAGTGTTTCAGTCTTGCTGCCGCATCCATAAGGATAGAGTACAGCAGCATGGGAACAGCCTGCGAGTTCAAAGGGCCACTAGAGTCTCGAACCATGAGAACCCCGAGTCTTGCCTTGGGCACCTCCTTTTTGATGTACTGGACGTGGGGTCGAGGCACCTGCGACATGCTCGGATACACGAACCTGCCGATGGCAATGGCAATGCTTCACTCACTGGACTCAGCAAAGGCCTCCGCACATGTCAGGGCTGAGAATCACCACGCAAGGACCGGCACGTGCTGAACCCCATGTGGGCAGAGCTGCGCATTGCAAGTGGCCTGCGTTACTGCCTCCACGTTGATGACTTCCGGTACCTCTATCGCTCGCTCCTCATAGATGACCTGTCGTCAAGAAAGGCGCTGCCATGCTGCTTCTCGGGTGTATGTATGTCTTGCCATCCCAACTGCCTGAGGAACCTCGACAACCTTCTCCACGTACCTTGAGGGATCTTCGAAGTGGCCAAAAGCCAGTCTGCACAGCCTAGAGCACCACAGATTTGTGTGCGTGTGTGTACGTACGAATGATCATGCCTGCATACATGCATTTTCATAACGCAAACAATCGAACAGTGTGTGTGCATACCACCTGGCGGTAACACGTCGTGATGCAGAGCACGAAAGGACTACAAGAACCCGGGGTTGCACTTGACGATCTTTTTGGGGACCCGCTTCTCGATGTACTTCACCTTCAATTTCTGTGCAGAGTTAGACAACGGCTTTGCAACAGTAACATCACTCTGACATACAACTGGGATCAAGCTTTGCTTCGGGAGATAGCTAAACTGTCACCGGCACGCACCAATGCTGCGTCAAAATGTGCGACACACTCTGTGCCCAACAATTTTCCTGCACAGACCTCATGTAAGCTGGGAAAGGTGTGGCTATACCAGGCTTTCCCCTCTGTGGACCGAGCTGTCTGGCAGGTCAATCTAGGCAAGGGCAGCCATTGCCAAGTGCTTGGCAAGAGTGCCCTAGACGTGATGTTGCCTTCACGGTCGGTCGTAGTTCGGTGAAATCAACGGGAAAATTCGGTAAATGGACACCTGACAATTCTATCATCTCTTCTGCGACAGGATAGACAGCCTTCCTCAGCGTCGCATTAAGCGAGACTGACTCCAGCTCTTGCTGAGAGACGCCAGACTACCAGGCAGGTGCAGGGAAACAGCTTCAACGCATTGTTCACGTGACTCTCGAATTGCTTTATCGCATGAACTTCATGAGGTTGCCCTTCGCACCCGAGTGGTCTTGGCTGCGCTACTGAGCATTGCGAGGCCAGAACGCAAATACTTTGGACCAGACGGCCTGTTGCATTCCAACTAAATTCTCAAAACGTAAATTGGCTCTGCGGATGCATTTGGAGCGACATGACATAACATTGCCCTGATCGTAATCCCAGATACCACAGGCATTATTAGGGTACATACATGGCACGCACAAGCAGGCAAAGCCACAGTTTCTGACCAGCTGAGCCTTGTTTGGCACATGCCGTCCTTTCTTTCCAAACAAACCACGACTCCAGGAGGCATCCAGCTGCTCAACAGCAGAAAAGTAATCCCACTCCGGAGCAGCTGTCAAAGGCTTACTGAGGCCGGCGGGTCGGCGCGGTGCTCGGGCGAGGTGCCTGGACCAAAGGACATTCTAGGGAGGAGGGAGTTCAGGAGCTTGCAGCAAATGTGGCGAAGCCGCAAGCAGGGTAAAAAAAGGTCTCTTAGAAGTCAGAGGATCCGTAGCCAACACGCACGATTGAATATCGCGCAAGGCAACAGCAACCACCTTGGCGAATCTGAGTCATTGCAAAGTAACAAAAAAACGGATCCAAGACCCTCCAGAGGCAATCAGAACCATGGTGGGATATTCGGAGTCGACTCGAGATGACTCACAATCCTCGTGAGTGTAAAGCTGCTCAGAAGCCCCACGAGCATAAAATCTTACGATGAGCGGAATATAGCATAGTGGAATCAAAGACGCAACCAGCATCGCCACAGTCCGACTATCGGGGTACACACCACAAGATTCGACAAGAAACCGGAAGCGTGCAGCTTCAAGCTCCCCAGCCATGCCTGCATATTGCTAGGAAGAAGTGGCAGCATCGAAGGCTTTTCCTGATGTAATCTTCCCGGAGCAGCATCCACCTTGCGTATCCAAACGTCAAGCTAAACAAACAGCAGCAGCAGGAGGAGCGGCAGCAAGCGGAAGCACAAACAACCGACAGGGCAACATCTGGCCCCGGCCTGCTTGTGGGCGTCTTGGAAGCCCTTGCCAACACCGCGGAGGAAGTCGTGTGCAACCTCCAACCTCAGAACGTTACCACTGCTCGCTGCGCATCTCAAACCACCACACGTGCCAATCCAGCTAAGACTTGCACCTGTCTGCGAGGATATGGACGTCACCCTGACCAAAGCGTAAATCGTCCAATCACTCCCGGCTAACAAAGGCAGCACGTGCATCTTTCAAATCCGAGCTTCCAGGACCATCAATAGATCGTTCTCTTGGGCAAAAGATGACACAGCTGACCGTTAGTGAGCAAGGATGGCGGATGGCCTGCGTGCTCACAAACTCGGAGGTCAAACCGCTTAAATTCTTGGCATTGGACTGCACATCACGGTCCTCGGAAACACAACCGGAATGCAGGAACAACTGTGAGTTTCGACTCTCGCTCCGAGTGTTCCTGCACTAACCCAACATCCCTTCCGTGCGTGTCGTTTGCTTGATAACATCATATCGCTTGCTGTTGTTCGCTGACATACTCTCTGCTATGCATCTTGCTGCTGGCCGAGTTTCCACGCTCTGGAGACGCAAGTCCAAGCGAGTACACGCAGCATCATGCTCCTGCATCACGGCTACGTTGAACAGATGTTGAAAGATATGGTAACCAATGGGAATGGCAGCCAGCGTCGCTCAAGGCGACAATAACACTTACACGACCATGGTTCCCCCTACCCCCCACCAAAAACTCAGGAAGGCAATTTCAGGCAACAGAAAAGGAGACAATTACATAACATGGTCGAAAAATCGAAAAACATCAGGAGCGGTTCAGAAAAGCGCTGGCTGGCTGACCCGAAGCCCGGGACGGAGATGTTGGCAAATCCAAACCCCCAAAAAAAAGTTGAAGCGCCCCAAAACCTGACGGAGATGGTGTGCTGGCTGGCATACAAACAACCCTAAACGGGAACATCGGTTGGCAAACCCTGTACCCTGAAACCAAATCGTCGCTGAAAACCCCCAAGGCATAACAGAAGAAGATCTAAAGAAGCGTGGCCTTGTACAAAACGTATCATGTTAGGTGGCACGTGTTCGGGGCCACCGCTTCAACACTGAGACGGCACATTGGTTGGCAAACCCGAAACCCTAAACGGAAATTTTGGTTCGCATACCCCAAACACCCTAAAAGGCAACTCTTGATTGACAAACTCCGTGCCTTATGCACCTCTAACCTGAAAGAACAAAATATTGCCTGGCAAACTACATTATACAAAATATACATATCCTGTTGGGTGGCAAATGAAACCATCAGCACTCAAAGGAGATGTTGGTTGGCCATCCGAAACCCTAAACCGAAATCTCGGTTGGGATACCCCAAACTTGAAAGGAACCGAATACAACGTGACGGGGGGCTTGCGGCATTGCGTGTCTTTACAATGTAGCAGCCCAGACTATCACGCCTTGGTGGTGTGTACAGTTGTGATGACAAGGTTTTAACAGAAGATCTCGTGGTGTTGAACATGTACAGATGCAATCGCAAAAATGCCCGCTACTGGCCTCGGGAATCCACCAAACAATCCCGAAAACACGAACCCGCATGACGTTGTGCATTCAAAACGCCTGTTGGTTGACAAATCCTCTACCCTTAAAAGGAATCGAATCGTGATTGGACAACCTCAGGCCCTAAACGAAAACCTACTGGTTGGCAAACCATGAATCGCAGCGCGGCATTGTGAATATTGTGTTGGGTGGCGAACGTTTGTTGACAAACCCTCACCATGGAAGGAAGTGTTGGTTAGCAACCCCGGAACCCTAACAGCAGATGTCGGCTGGCATACCCAGTCAACCCTAGACAGATATGTTGGCATTGTTTTCAATCGTGGCCGGACAACCCCAAACCTTAAAAGATGAAGATATTGGCGGGCAAGTTTTTTTGAAACCGCAGACTTACAGTAGAAAACCCCCAACGCTGATAAGAAATATGGGCTGGCAACCCGGAATCTGCAAACGGAAAATTTGCGTGGCATCTCCAACCGAACTGAAAATGAAACCGTGGGTGACAAAACCCATACTCGAGACGAAGGCCGTGGTTGGACAACCTCCATTAAACGAAAACATACGAAAACTATTGGTCTGCGAACCCTGAACCGGTTGGCCAACCCTCAACATTGGAGAGAGGAAGATATTGGTTGCCAAACCTCAAAAAGCCGAGCACAGCCCTGCAGAGCGGTGGTGGTATGTAGGATTTGCCAATCAACATCTATCTCCTTCTGTGAGCAAGAGGAGTAACAGCAGCAAGAGGAGCAGAAGCATGAGTCGACATTTCTCTCTGTTTCTGAATCGCTCCGCCAAATTTGCGAATTTCACTACAATATACTACAATGCTAGCTTTAAAAGGGGGCTCGGACTCACCATCCTGGTCCCGTCGCTCGGGACTAAGATTAAGTAAGGTCACTGACGATGGAATGGCCAGTGGTCATGACGTTGACGGACTCGGCTGTCCCGACACTCAGAAGAAAGATGCCGAAAAGAATGCTATGCATCTACAGTGTTTGACCTGTCCTATCCGTACAGCACCATCTCATGACTTCAGTTACTTCAGTTAACAAAGTCGGTGCCACCTCAGGCAAAGCCGGCAGCCTCCCACTTCCATATGTTTGGCGACATCGTGGAAGAAGGTGGCTTTTGGTGATGAAACAAAATGCGCGTCAGCGCAGGCCGGCTGCAAGCCCATCACCAAGGCCTTCTCCTATTGACCCCAATCCAAAGGTCGGTGCGTAACCCTATCACGACTCGGTCCACATCTCCGCGCTCATCGCTCCCACCTGGGAAAGCATGGTTTACCCCGACCCGGGCACTGTATTCCAATCGTCGGATACCTGCCAGCGCTCCTGCACATCGGTGAAAAATTGTTGGGCCGGGCCGACAAGACCCAATGCATCCAAGCAAGAAAGCTTCAAGCGGATCCAAACAGCACGCGGGGCGTGGGCATCGCTGGGCGGCTTGCGGATCCATACCGTCTGTCGCGAAGGTGACCCCGGACGGAGTCGCAAACTACGTGAACCACTTGGCCACCTGCTTAAAAGAGGAAGTAGACAGCACCAGGCCGAAGTGGTAGCCGCCCATCGCCAGACAAAGGAGGCCTAAGCCTCAGCCCATGCAAGCGTGTGCCGCCTTGGTCAAAGCGGTCAGCGCCTGCACCTCCCAAGACAGCGCCGCCTCGCGCTGCTATCACAGACTTCCGCAGCGACCCGTTGGCCCTCGAACCAGCACAGGAGCGCGCCGCCACATCAGCTTTGGCGTTGAGCGCCCTCGCCACAACTTCGCCACAAGGCGGCGGACGCCACGTAGCAGGGGCGACCTTCCCATGCGAAGGGGTCCACCACAAATGGATAGTGAAGCGCTGCTCCAACTCTCGCCTCAAGTCCACCAAGAGCGACACTGATGGCAGACTGGCAGTCGCACACAACATGGATGACCCCGGAGCCAGAGCAAAGCTGCAAGCCACGAAGCAAAGCCCAAAGAGCCTCGATCTCCGCACGAAAGGAGGACTGGTCCTCGCCCGCCACTCCCAGCGAAAAGGAGCAGTCTGCAAAGGAGACAGCCCAAGCAGCCAGGGAGCAGCATGTGCTGCCGTCAACAGCAACCGTCAAGGAGCTCTCCGACTGAAGCAAGCCATCGAACACCGCAGCAATGTCCTCGAAGACGTCCTCCGGGTCGAGCACCTCAGGAGGGCGAGGAAGTTCAGGAACCACCCTGACGAACAGCCGTTCCTCAGCCCTGTTCGTCGGAGGGGCAACGTTCTCTCGGTACTGCCTCGTAGCATCACACGCCCAGGCCAAATGAGGCCGAGAAGGCAGCTTCCGGCCACACAAACACACCTCAGCAGAGCTAGTAGCAGCACAGCCAGCACCACGAGGGCCACGACCAGAGTTTCGCTTGGCTTTGTGCCACGTTGAACACCCAGTCGCCATCGCAGAAGCACGGTCGATGGAGTCCGTAGCACGAGCGAACATCTGGCGGTGCCCGGCAAAGAGACACAAGGAGCCCCGAGGAGGCGCAGGCAGCACCAGGCCTCCAGCGAGCTCGTCCTGAGGATCGGGTCGATGCAAAGAGCGATGGACACGGTCACAACAAGCCAGTCCAGCACGCCGTTTCCCATCCCGAAGCCATTCGAGGAGCACCTCCATGGAGTCGACGCCAAGCTCGAACCACCGTAGGAGTCGCGCCGGCAGATGAACCGGCCACGCTCGGCAGACCACCACTGCAGCTCGTCGAGCACCAGCTTGGCACCAGGAAGGAGCTCCAGCCACCACTTTGCAGCGAAGTCGACGCTTTCGTCCTCAATCCAGACCGGCGGGCAAGCTTGCAGTCGGGCCGCCTGTCGAAGAGCAGAAGCCTGCGCAGCAAACTGAGGATGGCACTCCCAGCCGGCAATCTCGTAGCCCAGCACCAAAGGCGCGTCCACAGCCAAGTCCTTGAAAATGGCATGGCGAAAATCGCTCAACACCGCAGTCATTGCCGCCTCACCGACAAAGGCGTGACCACCAACCCAAGTGAACAAGGGCAGCACGAGGCTCGAAAGCAGGCGCCTCTTGTTCTGCAGGCTGTGGGTTGCCGCACCAATCAGTCACAAGCGGCACTGAACCACCTTCAGGTCAAAGTCCCGCAGCACCAAACCAAGCACCACCAACACCTCAGAGGAGACGTAGCCAAGCTCGTCACGCAGGCTCAGGGCGGCAGGATCGGCACCGCGGAAAGCGAAGCGACACTTTCCCACATCGCAAGTGAAATCGTAAGCCGCGTCCACCACATCACTCCGCAGCATACCATGGCGAAGGGCATCGGCAGAGCGCGACTACAGCAGCCGATCGTCGACAAAGCTGCAAGACGAGAGCTCGGCCGGGGCTATCGGTCTCGACGAACTCGTGCCACACCCACATCACCGTGCCGCATGCCAGCCAGCAACGGCGACAGAGGACACCCCTGTGCCAGCCCACACCTCACACGGTGCCAGTCACCTCCGATCACGTTCGCAGAAGAGAAAACCCTACGGTGGTCCTCGTAGAAGCTGCACACCAAACCGCAAAGGCCTTGAGGAGCTCCAAGGCGGCGCATCGTCGCCAGTAGATCCGATAGGTGAATCGAGTCAAAGAAGCGACAAAGGTCTTGCTGGATATAGCAGCGAGGCTCTGCAAGAGAAGCTCGAAGGCGCATGAAGGCATCAGGAAGCCCCCGCCGATGCACTCCTCCAAGCACTCTGTGTCCAGCCCAGCCATCCACCCACCGGTCCAGACAACGAACCAGGATCCTCGACCCCAGCCGCCAAGCCAAGGCCAGTACAGTCAAGGGACGGTGGCCGCCGCTCGCCTTGGCAATCAGCGCAACACGCCCTTCACGCCATCGCTGCGGTATGCGATTGGTTCGCAAAACAGCCTGCCACAGCTGCGCAAGCGCAGTCCAGAAGGGCCGCGGCAAGCAAAGCCACGCCTTAGCCGGCCAATCGTCCGGTCCTGCAGCCTTAGTCAACATGGACTTCGCCGCCCGAAGAGGAGAGTCGCACGTGATCTCGGGCCGCCAGTCGCACTGCGGGAGCTGTGGCAACTGACAGAGAGCAGCGCCTCGACCTGTCCAGTGCCATGCGACTTGCCCCAACGAGCCATCCAAGTGGTCTCCGCCTCACGAACAACACGAGCGGGATGGATGGCAGCTTTCACAACGGCCTCGACCCCCGGCACCGGTCTAGAAAGCTCAGCACCGAGTTTGTCTCGCCGCCGGATCCAGGTAGCGAGCTCCTTGGGGTCCTTGTCCAGACGCCGCCTCCAAGCACTGATGGCCGCAGCCTGCTGGGCCTTCTCCTCTCTGTCAATGTGCTCACGCATCCAATCGCACCAAGCCTCGGCCTGTCCCGAAGCCATGGCGCCCGAGAGGAAAGATCACACGCCTGGCGAGAAACACGATCACGGAGGCGATGGTCACCTGGCTGACGGCGAAGCTGAAGCAGACGGCGCCAAAGCCTGTTGAGCTGCACAACCAGGAGCGGCTCACGTCCATCGGCAGCCTTGCTTCGAGGGTGTTGTTGAGTCCGCGGCCTCCAGGCCGAAGAGCGGGCCACTCCAACAGAACCAGGCTCAGCAAACAAGCCTTCAGCAGCATCCGATAACAAGGTCCAGGCCTCATCCACCTGACCGGTTGATAAGGCATCCTCGAAAGCAGAGGCAGGCCAAGCAGCCCACCACTGATCATCCGAGATCTTCACATCTCGAAGCGGCCGCCGCGAAGGGCGAGAATGCCCCATTGAGGGCTCCACCTCCACCGCATATGTCACCATAGCATGGTCGGAATGCCACCAGCATTGATGCACAGAGGAAGGCGCCAGAGCCCCATTGCCCACCGCATAATCCAACCGCCGCCCGGACTCCTTGGTGCCAGGGAGGATCTCCTCGTGCTGGAAGACGTCATCCCAAGGCCAAACAAGGCCGTTCGCCACGGCACCGGTCATGGGCTCCTCAAGCAGGTCGACATTGAAGTCCCCAAGGATCACCCAGTTGAAGGCCGTGCCACGAAGAGCACACGCCAAGTCCACCGCCCCGTCCACGGCAAACTTGGCCACCTGCTGCCGAATGCCCCAAAACTCGGGACCGTGGCCGCCGCGGCCGAGCCAATGTTGCCATCCTATCGGCGAGGACAGGGCGGTCCGTGAACAGGACGTACACGTCCTCATGCTTTGGAAGAACCGCATCTATCGCCCAAGTCCAAGGGGCTACCTCCCCAGCAAGCTTCGGGTGACGCCCGACAAGAACGACAATCAAGCATAATCAAGCCACTTTCGGGCCAAAGCCTTGAATCACAATGGCAGCATGACATCATTGATAAGCTTAGCGTGATGAAGCATGCACACCCAGAGCCTGCCAAACTCAATGCACGTTTATGAATCTGGAGCAGCAGTTTCATTTTCAGAAAGCCTCAACTGTCTCAACTCTCCTCATCTCTCCTCTCAACACTCTCCATGCCTGCAGCTTGGTCATGGCTTCTTTCCGGAAGTCGAAAAGGCTGTGGATCTCCGTCTCAGCGACTCTGGCCTGCTCCACAAGCCTCTCCTGAGAAAGCGTCAGTTCTTTGTATACTCCTCGACTGTGCTGTTCATGCTAGAGTGTGTTTGTGTCTGCTGCTGCTGTACACCGCGTGTCTGGCTGCGACCACATGTCCGTGCTTGCTCATTGCGCGTGGAAATATTGAGCTTGCTTTTACTCGCGAATTCTCGGTCGGTCAATTTTCGGTGCGGGGGGGGGGGGGGGCACAGAGTGACTGCCTAGCTGTGCCCAAACGAAGCTTATGGCAATTCACCCGGGAATGTCATAAGGCTGCTTCGGCCATGTACCCGCAACGAAACATGCGCTTCGCCCACGCATGGCAGGCGTGAATCTTGGTTTCCACGACCGCACTTGAAGGGTCATGTCTGGAGTGGAGTGTCTTTAGGCTGCCTCGTTGCAACTTGGTAGTTCCATACGGTGCCAAGGGTACAAGCTCACAGCAGCCCTGACCTGACATGTGATTCCCCTTGACCTCCTCAGTCTATGTCAGATGTCCTGCACAATGCCCTGCTCACCAATCTTGGCCGCGGAAGACCGCACATCGCTGCCCAGGGCATTGAGACCACTCTGCAACAGGGCAAGGCCCGGCAGGGGATGAGAGGCCCTGAGGCACAACCCGCTATTCGCTATTGTCACTTCCATACCTGCCTCGACAGTTCTGATGGCAGCAGTGTTGCTTCGAATGGTGTGGCTCTTGGTATCCAGAAGAACCGCCAAGTCGTTCATGCGCCTCAAGGGAAGAAGCTCGAGTAAGCCGCAAAAGCACAGTCTCTCTACTGCGGTCGAAGCACCTTGAGAGGTCCGAGTGCAGAGTTTGGGCCAGCTCTGTGAGCTCAGCCTCCGGGTTCCGGCGCAAGGAAATGAGACACAAAAAAGGCATCTCAACACGCTCCAAGGACGTCTCCAAGTCTCCAAACGATATTTGGCTTCGTTTCGCCTTGGTTTCATCGACCTTCGTGTTGATTCGCTCCAACTTGCCCCTGCGATTGATCGACTCTTCGTGCACCAGGCTGGTCTGCGCTGTGTCCTTCCAAAGGCGGAAGAAGAACGTAGAGCAACAATATCGAAGCAGGAGCCAGGTGGAGCCAGGAGCATTTGCTGACGGCTGGGGCCCACGCTACTTTCTGGCCTTCCTGGATGTGTTGACTTGCACAAGTCTTGCATGACAAATGCAAGCCTGACTCCAGTTCCGACATTGTGACATGTCCGCTCGTTCCAATCCTGCCTGCACAGATTCGTCCAAGCTAGCCAAAGCTGTTGTGAGATGTGCAACTTGAAGTTTGACCTGCTCTCGCGCAGCTCAGTTTCTGCTTGGGTCAGCTTCTGCATCCCATGCCTGCCCTCAATGCGTGCTGGCCTGTGCAAGTGATTCGACATCAGCTTGCGCTTCTTTTGCCAGCGTTCTTTGCTTTGCCTGCGACGACCGATCCAGTCCCAGCTTGTGCGGCAAGAGCAGTGCAGATGACCTTCACATCTCCTGTTATTGTCGCCACCCTTGCTTGGTGTCTTCCCTCTCTGACCGAGTTTGCTCATGCTGGGATCCCAAGAGCACTTCAGTCATGTTAATTTTTCAAATCGAACAGTACTAACAATGAAAATGTCTCCAACCTCCAGGGAATCGATGCGCGAGGAAAGTCGTGGTAGGCCTGCTTCATGCAACGCATGAAGGCCCAAAGAAACGCTCCACCCTTCAAGCCCAAATGGATGTCAACAGTCTTTCTGCGAAGTAAGCACAGCCTTGCCATGCTAACGGGCTGGCAGGGAACGGAACGGCTTGCAAAGCGCTGCCCAGAGGCCGATGGTACATGTGCAAAAAAATGCTATCAGACCATGACCAACAGTACTGCCATCTGATGCCATGTCCACAGCTGAGTGACCATTTTTCTTGAGATCCTCCAGCTGATTCGTAGCCGTGTGCTGAAACTTTGAGAAAGCCGACTGCGTGTCCTCAGTTTTGCGTTCTTCGCTCTCTGTCACAGACTAGGTTGGCAACTGAACATGCAAGAGAAAGCCAACGGGTGACTGCGTTGCAACCTAGGCACGTCTGCAACTCGCTTCGCTTGCTCGACACGGCCAGATATCCCGGAGTAACAGTGGCTCAGAAAGTCGTTGGACCTCGTCAGCGATCGAGCTCTTTCGCCAGCCACAGAGACATAAGCATGCTTCACTGTGTTTGTCTCTGCAAAACGGATTGTGTCTGGGCGGCTCCCGAAGACCATGCAGCTCGCCCGTGACCTCTGCCACTGCGGACGAGGTCTTCCTGCAAAGGAAAGTCTGAACAAAATGGCAGAGAACTCCCCTCGGCGCTCGGAATCCCTCCTCGCCTTTGAGCGACTTGCAGGTCCCGCAGTTCACCGTCAACCCTGGCCTGTACCTCGTGGTTGGACCTCCGCCCCAGAGCTCTGCGATGCTCTGCATGCAGGTGTGTCCGGATGTGCAGGTCAGGACAGGCTGAGGTTCAAACGACAAGTCGTTCTGCAATCGCTTCTGCTCCTGTCGAACCTTTGTTGACCACGGCGTCAATTATTGGGCTCCAGCAGAAAGACGTTCGATCTGCAATCACGCAATAACTGTAAGAACTTTCCTCAAAGCACATAGCACTACATGCACCTTCATCCGATTCCTTCATCCGACCTCATAAGCTAGCGCCTTGCTACAGCGAGCCTGGACAAACTCGTCCTCCACCTTGTGCTCGTCAATCTTTTTGCTTATCTCCGGCAGGAGCTCCTGCCTCAGCCCTCCAACAGCTGCATGCGCCTCCGCAGGCAGCTAAGGCTAAGGCAAGGAGGAGACGCTTCAGCCTTGGATTCCTTTCGAAGCCTGATTCACGTCCATGGTTAAGGTCATCAACTCCTGTCCATGCTGCCTCAGTGCAGAGCAAGAGCCCTCAGAACCGACGCGACCGACGTGTGACACCGTGCCGTCGTGCCGTGGCGCTTCACCACGGTGTCCGTGTGCTTCAGCTGCTCGGCCTTGCGGTTCAAGTCATCTCTGCATGCCTCAGGGAAAATGCAAGAAAGAGAGCACTCCGCGGCGGAAGGATTGCGGATGTTCTGCTCCTAACCATGTTGCGGGGCGGTTGCTTGCATCTTGTGTTTCGGAGAGGCTCCTTTTCGCTTCAGAGATGTGGTAAGAAGCCTCTCCTTGCCAGTGACCTTCTTGCATTCCACTCTTCATGCCGTTTCCCGCCAATGTCACTTCGTGCCAGAAGATCCGGCATATGGACAACTACTACAACTGATCATCTGTAATTGGATCATGCAAGCTTCGCTGTCGCACCATACTTTGGCGAAATGAACTTGAGTGAAAAATACAATGCTTCTCGAAGGCTGCCTCGATCTCGTCTTGTAGATCCTTCAGCCGCTGGGAAAAAGGACTCAGCATACTCAGCAGATGCTGGTGTACGAAAGCTTGCATCTCCTCAGTGCAAGAAACGCGGTACACCTCTGCACAAAGGTTTCATGGCTGTAAGCCAAGAAGCCACTTCATGCTCTGTTGTGAGCCATGCCAGCGTCTCCGAACGTTGGGCCTTGCAAGGCTTGGCCATTGGAAGGGGCGACGGTCGAAGATCGAAGATTCATAAAACCGAAAGGTCGCAGTTACCCTTGGGGCCTCTCCTACCGGCTATGCTTGTATGAGCTGACATCAGCTTCCTCCTTTGCAGTATCGCAAGGTTGACTTGCCGGGTAAAGCCTGCAATACAAAAAAATTATCATCCACAAGCTGGCGCTGCGACAATGGTCGCACTGTCGGAAGGAATCGAAACGCACGAAAGACTCTGCTCCCTCGGAGCCTCGAGGCCATCTACGGGCTTTAAAGCATCAAGCTGCGCCATGGCGACACTTCGAGGCCCTCGAAACTAACTTAGCTGCTCAGGCCTGTGCAATCCTGTGCATCTGGAGAAGTGTCAGATTGACTCGAAGGCTTCGATTCCGTTCCATACAGGCTGGGAGCCGGTGCAAAAGCTCGCAAAACGACCTCACAGAGATCTGCACCTCCCATTGGCGACTTAGCATTGGAGGCCTCAGCGGCATTCAGAGATCTGCACCTCCCGGCCTCGGGCTTGGAAACCTGCTTTATCACCTCGCGAACTTCTACGGTGGGCACTTCCACGATCTTCTCCTTCGCAAGGAAATGCAGGTACTGACGTCATGCTTCGAAGGCGAGCGCTCCTCGTAGATGATGTGCGGAACCTCGACCTTGGTGCCCCAAGATCTTCAAACCACGAGCAGATCAGGATCATGGGTCAGTGCGGCCCAGATGCAAGCTTTTCCACATACTGAACCTCCACCGTCTCCACCTGCGCACCGTTAGTGCTGTTCCCAGCCATCTGGAGTCTGGACAAACCCAAACACTCCAGAGGGCACATTCTCATACCAAAGCTTGCTGGTACTGGAAGCACGAAAGCGTACGGAAAGCACATGCTCAGAAAGTATAGCTTCCAGCAAAGGAGGTGGTACCAGGTCACCCATGACCTGCCTGCTTGTCGACAACTTGGACCTCATGCCGAGGAACCTTCCAGCCAAAGTACGGTAAACGCCTCACAAAACTCTCGCATTTCCACCCTTTCCTGCTTCACCAGCTCGTGCACTTCTACCTTCGGCACCTGACATTGAGAGGAACAGCAGACAGGTCATCGTAGCAAAACTCACAAGCGAACCTCGACGATGCATTCCTGAATCGTCGTATGTGGAATCTGCCACGGGGAGAAAGAAGCAGAAAAAATGACTCGATCGCTGCTTCTTGCCTCCACGACCCTCTCCACATACTCGTTGACTGGTTTTTCAATGGGCTTCGCCACGACTTGCACCTGAAATTTGAGTCATGAAGATCAATCGCAAAGACAGTTCTTCGGCGTAGTCATATCATATTAATATCTGAAGCATATTTTCCCACCTCCGGTCGCGGTACTTCCTTCACAAGCTCCTTCACAGGGCTTGCGGCATGGGCTCCCCTGAACTCAAGTTGTCAAGACGAGTTCTGGCAACTACAACCCCAAAAACCACCGTTGCATTTTCGACGCTCTGGAGAATGTCAACCCAAAAAGCGCAACACGCAAACAGGGAGAGATCACCATCGCATGCTGCAAGGCACAGGTAGTAGCCGGCGAGCCCACAAAAGTGTGGATGCGGACCACAACGATGGAGGGAACCACTTCGTCGGCTCAGAGACTGAGCCCGCATTGCTCCGCTAGGATACTCCGGAGTTGCAAGGTCGCGGCCGGTCAGCGTCCCCCAGGTATAACGCGAAAAAATAAAACAAGGTCAAGCCTGGAACCCGAAAACAACCCGGAGCGCCAGCAAGACCGAAAGAAGTGCGAGTTATAAGGTTCAGGGTTGAGCGTTTTGTCCCCGCCCGTACCTCGCCCGTACCCGGCGCGTGGCGTGTACCCCGCGCTACACTCCGTGAACGCTCGTCCCCGCCCATACCCCGCCCGTACCCTCCGTAGCCCCGCTGCCCCGCCTATAGCCCACCCAAACCCGGCGCATACCCCGCGCCACCCTCTGTGAACGCTCGTCCCGGCCACCCCGCCCATACCCCGCCCGAAAACTCTCCGTAGCCCTGCTGCCCCGCCCATACCCCACGCGTGTACCCGCGCGTACCCCGCACTTGCTCCGCACGCCGCATGTACCCCGCGTGTACCCTCCGTGAACGCTCACCCCGGCTCTAAACGAGAACCCAACATCCGAGATGTTCTGGGAAAAAAGAAACAGCAGACACGCAAACCACAGGCAAACCCTAGTTACCAAACGATAATAAAAAAATGATTCATTCACTGTATCGTTTGCATGTTGTCCTATCGATAGGTGCAGTTTCTACATTCTACATATCAAAACACAGTTTGCCCCCAAAGGACACTTTTCCCAAAGGGCAAAATCCACATAACGCCGCCTTGGGCCCAAAGGACTAATTTGCCGCTCGGCACTGTTTTTCCCATACAAGTAGGACAAGCTTGCAGATCCGTCAATGCTCGTCTTCCGTAGCCCGGCCACCCCGCCCATACACAGCCCGTATACCCTCCGTAGCCCCGCTGACCCGCCCGCACCGCACCCGGCGCGTACCCCGCACCTACCCCGCGCGTTCACTCCGCGAACGCTCGTCCCCCGTAGGCCGGCAATACACCGCCCGTACCTTAAATACCACGCGAACCCAAAACCCCACGCGAACCCTCCGCGAATGCTCGTCCCCCGCAGGCTGTCCACCCCGCAAATACCATGCATTCGCCGCCCATACACTGCCCATACCCCGCAAATACAACGCCAACCCTATGCGAACCCTCCGCGAACGCTCGTCCGCCGTAGGCCGGCCACCCCGCAAATACCACGCATGCCCCGCCCATTGGGCGGTGCGTATGGGCGGGGAATGCGTGGTATTTGCAAGTGGCCGGACGAGCGTTCGCAGAGGGTTCGCGTGGGGTTACCCCGCAAATATCACGCGAACCCCACGCGAACCCCGCGCGAACCCTCCGTGAATGCTGACCCCGCTTAGAAACTAAACGAGACCCAACATCCGAGATGTTTTTGGGAAAAAATGAGAAAGAGAGAAAAGGACGGCGGACGCGGGCGCTCACACGGCATCGGATATGAGAAAAAACTACGGAGGGGATGAAGTCAAGGAACCAAAGCAAGGCGCAGTGGGCTCGGATATTGAATGAAAATCCCCCTGTCGCACCCAGGATAGCAAAAACGCAAAAGAGCCGGATTTGCAGGCTTGCATTCCTGCGCACAGGAGGTGCACTGTTCTGACATGAACTTGTCCGTTGGTTCCAGCTACCTGGATGCCGAACGAGCTTGCTTGGCACCCTTTTTCTTGGAGTTGTTTCTGTACAAACCACCTCACAGAAGCAGCCCATTCGTAAGCACAGGAAAACATACTCCAGCATTCGACTCTGACCCAACTCTCTCAGCAAACAGCTTGCAGATGTTAAAGACTCGAAGCAGAATCAGAAACTACGAGACACCTGTTGTTGACTCGTGGACAGGATCCTGCTTAACTCGACGGGATTGGCGACCTTCCTGCTTCCTGGCCGGATCCTAGCGCAAGAAATCTCTAGCGACTCTACAGAGGGGTTTCTCAGCTTCGCTCCTCGGGCTCCGAGTAAATCAACCTCGCCCACGAACTGCGTTTCTCTCAACTACAATGCAGTATATCGCTCAGCAAGAAAGACTGGCAAGCAAAAATCCACACGCGTTTTCAAAGGATTACGCTAAAGAAGGCAGAAGTCCCAAGCGGACACACACGAAAAACCATCGGGATCTGTGAAAGTTTTGCAACTTGCCTCAACAAGAGGCCCCTTTCCACGCCCACATCATGTGGTCGGAATCTCAGCCATTCCACGCCCACGGAGCCTCGACATGAACTTGGGGGACCTCGACCATCTGCTCAGCAACCATTGCAGTAGGAACCTGCGAAAACGCTTGGCTCGTGCCACGCATCCACATGTGCCGGATCCAGCATTGTGCAGCGTTTGCTACTGCCTCGACCACTCGTTCCCGGCACTGGTAGACCGGCACACCGACCTGATTCTGAAATACACCCTGCCAGTCGCCGATCACTTCTACCTTCTACCTCTGTGCATTGTGAAGCCCACCTGCTTTTGCACCTCCCTTACCTGAGTTTTGGGGATCTGCTTCACCAGGTTCACATACTCGATCTTTGGAACCTATGCACTTTTCAGACAGCTAAGCCGTTAAGAGTCAAGAACCATCTGCCTCCTCGATCCGCTCCTGGATCAAGACGTGGGGTACTTCTACGATCTTCTCAGTCACCTGAGCCACGGAATGTCAAAAAGCAGAGACAGAAAGAGAAGGGGAGAAAGAGATAGGGTTGCGTAGCCTCGTAGACTGGTCTCGCCACTTCTTTGGTCACTTCCTGCACCTGTCGCGGCTTGCACATCGCTGTCTGCAAGGCTAACTGGCGAAGTGCATCCAGTATCAAAAACTTTTCACTGTATCACGAAGCTGCAAGATCAGGCCAGGAAGAGCGCATACCTTGCTTCGCACACAGCATCTGCCGCAAGCTCCCGAGTGCTGTCAAACTGGGAACGATGAATTGTCCAGGCTGCAGCAAGGACGAGTGCTTCTCTCTCCCGGCACCTGCATAGCAGTCTGGCTCCTCCTCTGCACACAAGAAGCGCAAGCAAATGCGCTGCATAATAGCACTAGGACATGCACTCTGAAGGATCCTTCAGCAGCTCGAACCCAGCACGTTCGTAGCAAGCTCGAGCCACACCTCATAGCAAGTGTGATTTGTTCCACTCAAGTTGCAAAACCGTGTGCCATGCACTAATACCATAACTTACATGGAAGGTCATCCGAAGGGCGGTTGTAGCCTGCGAGGTGCAGGGCCTCAGCTCCAGCAACTGTTGGAAAATGATTTGGAAGGTACAAGATGGCAATTTTGCTGATGGTGCCGAGACAAGTCCAACAGTTCTCAGTCGCATTCCACAGCTCTGAGTGATGTGTCTTTTGGACCACCCGCGCCTGAAAGACACTGCAGATCAAAAGCGGGAGCTCCCTGCGACCGCATGACCCAACAAGAGCTCCCCATCCTCCGAAGAGCTCCTCTCTGGGCTTGGCCGCAGTGCGCAGGGCACTCATCGCCCGGCGGAGCAGCGCAGATGCGAGGCCACGGCGCCGGAGCTGCGAGCGCAACAGGCCCAACACAGCCGAAGCAATTCAACACAACAGAGCGCAGAAAGAAACGTAAAAAAACAGTGATAGTAGTCGGCTTCATCACACATCCACACAGCATGGCATGTGAAACAAGTTGGGGCTATATGTACTGAAACGCTCATGCGGTGGCTCATGCCTTCGAGTTTGCTTGCGGCATGCGGAAGGGTGCTTGTGCGCGTGTGTGCGTGTAGCGCACATATACGCCAAGGGGAGACCCTTTGCTTTTTGAAGCAGGGGAGGGAAAGGAGGGGGCAAGCCCCGTCCAATGAAACGCCCGCGCCCTCGCCAGGCAAACGTACCTGCCTTTGCTTGCTCATGGATCGCCGCGGGGATAGCTTGGCAAGCCTCGTCTCATTTTCATGTCAATCTGTACCTCGTGCGACATCGTTCCCCTTTGGCATCCGTCGCACAAAAACATTCCATGCAATGTTCATTGTCATCTTCAACATCATCTCGTTTCATGTTCATGAGTTGCCAGACATCTGTCAACCTGTTGAGAAAGCGTGTGCATGTGCTTGTATCTGTGTCGGCATCTGTGTCTGTGTGTGTGAAGGGGTTTCTTTTAAACTATGTCGACTCGGAAGCGCCATGAATATGAGTGTGTTGAATCGAATCGAATCTGCTTGGAGTCGGACTGGTGCTGTCTTGAAGGAGCCCGGACAAGGAAGGTGTTGGTCAAGGTCACCTCTTAACAAGGCTGCATCTGGAAAGCGGAGGTTTGCCGTCTCGACCTTCGCCGTAAGAAACGCCACAACGATGGTATTTTCATTGAGAACTGCCGAACCAGCAAGGTCGTCGATGTGCGAAATTTCGCTCATGTTAACGTCGTGCTGCCGAAAGGGGAAAAGCTGTCTTGGTGGCATGGAGAAAACTTCAAACTACAAGAGGGGGTGTGACATCCGATGATAGTGTGCACCCATCTCGCCTGACCTGGCCTATGGAGTTTCAACCCAGATCCCCTTCTGATCTTTTTTCCTCCGCTCGCCACATGCTCTCCAAGCACTCCGGGCCTCATCTTCACATTTAGCCGAGTCCCCTCCTGTCCTTTCTCGGATCGTCAGGAAAATCCTGCAATGTACAGTCTTCACCTCCCCTTCAAAACTACTCCACTCCCGCCAGCATCCTCCACATGTACTCAAAACCCCCCTTCCGTCTGCTGTCGTTGTGTTAAGCAATTGTCTTCACATTCACTTCGAGATTACTCAAGCCTGCATTCGTCTCTGAGCGGGCTTCCAGATGCTACGTGACTATACTGGGGGTACAGGTGCTGTCGGAACGCGGCAGAACACACTCGGGGCTTGCACAGAGAAACATGGTCAGATTTGCAAGAAGTTCACGCCGAGCATTGTCGGGACTTGAGCAAATTGCGCACTCGCCTGTCTCAATAAAGAACACGAGCAAAAAGCCAACGGTTAAAGCTTCCAAAACATAATATGCCACCCCCCCCCTCCGCCTCGCAGTTCATGACACGATCAGACGTCAACATGTTCTTTCGCTGTGGCATTTCGTGATGTTACAACAGCTACGCCTCAATGACTCAGCATGCAAGAAAAGGCAGTTATTGCCCAAGCCTCTCCCAGGCTGCCTAGACTCAGCACGTAGCCAAGCTCTCTGCCACCGGCACCTGCCGCTCCGAAGGGTGTCACAAAGCTGACGGTGGGAATGCTCAAGCCGACTTCTTGGGCAAGGGCTGTCCCACGCAATGTACTTGGGACGTGCCACGTCCACTCGCAGCATGTCTGCGGTATCTTTACCAGCAAACTCCTTCAAGCATTCTTCAAAGGAAGCATGATTAGAGGCTAGGTCCAAGAAACATTATGATCGAAGGCATGGGTATCCCAGAAGGCTCCCACCTCTATAGCCTCGCGGCTTGCAAGGGCCACAACAATGCCAACTGGAGCAGCTGTTTCATCCTGCAAGTTGCGTTGGGCATGGGTATTTGTTTCCTGGTCCCAGCACTTCTTGGAGTCTGTTGCTAGTGCACCCCTTCTGGCGCTAAGTGGCATTGCTGCAATGAGGAAACTGAATTCATCTCTTTGGCTGAGCCGCTGTCGTTCTAGGAGGATCCACCGTGCCGCAGATGCTTAGAGGTTATCATATTCATCGGCATCTCGGTTTCTTCAATCGGTTGAGCTTAGCCCTGAACTGTCCTGAGGGATCGTGGCTTTAAAAGCAATTACGCCAGGATGACGCAGCAGCTGAGCACACCAAGGCTCACCTCCTTGTCGCACAGAGATTTGAAAAACCTTCCGCTCAACGTGGATAGTACACATGCTGCACTGTTGCTGCACTGTTGCTGCACTGTTGCATCTGCCATCCTCTGCAGGATTCCTTTGGAAACCATTCTTCCTGTGTCGAAATAACGTAGCAGAACATGTCATCGAGCGGTGCATTGCCCTGTGTCCTGCAGATCTGCCAAGTCTTGAGCATCCTCTGGCTGCATGGGCACGAGAAGGAAGTCCTGCATGGATGCTTCTCACGGATTCAAGTACTCCATCATGTCGATTCAACCACAAACTCCGGACAGTCCGATGACTTCGTCACCGTGTCAAGAAGGTCTGGCTGGCCCTCGATCCTGTCTGCAGATGCATGCCATATACGTCTTGACCCACTGTCGAAGAACAGGATCGTGTCAGAAAAATTCCAGTGGGTCCAAGATGCAAACGATGTGCGCGTGCTCGCAACTCAGGTGCTGTGGAACCTGCCATTCCAACCTACAACAGCTAAAGTCGTAGTCCACTAACCCCCCTGAAAATACGAGAAATCTGCAGCAGAATCGACCTGGCGGCAGTGCCGACGACAGTGGAACGGGTCCATCCACCTTTGCACAAGGTGTATCCTCCTTCTGGCTGCTGCTGCTAGATGCACACCGCTCGAACACATGAGCAGAAAGCGATTAACCCTAAACCTGCGTCACGACTCTAATTCTAAACCTCTATGTAGCTGCTGCATCGACAACCAGCTCAAGACGAACTATCGATGCCTGGCGGAGCTGCGGTTTAGCCCGCTTGCCTTTTGCACCTACAGCTGATGCCAACTCGGAGAACAACAATCGCCAGTTAGTGATTAGTGTCAGCACTATGATCATTGTGCTGACATTGTCACTGTCACAACTGTTTTTGCCGTCTCTCAGAGCAGATCCGGTCGCGAACACTGATGACGGTGAGTGCCTTCTATTCACTAGTGGAGAAACGCAAACTGCAGCTTGGGCTGTGGCGAAGCTTGTCGACCAAGCCATACCGTGCAACTTTCGGCTCTCGTACGGGCCACCACAAGAAAGCCCTCACATCGTCGAAGACGCATCCAGAAGTTCAAAATACTCTACAGCAAGCACGATTACACATCAATGTGGAGCTTCGCAAATGTTCAAGTTCCGCGACGTCAGTTCGAACCCCGGCTACACAAACTATCTTCTCTCATCCATGGGGCTGCCAACCTCTAATTGAAAACTTCCTGCACCGATGATATTGTCAAACTGTCCCGTACAGGTACATAAGGCAACTGCAATACTTCCCCGCGGACCTGCTCGCCCAACATAACATCAGCAAGGCTGCCATCGGCTCAAACACGCGCAATGTGCCCATGATTGGAGACAAGTGAACCTAGTCTAGAATTTAAGCATCGCTGAAGCACTTTGTCACGCACACGGTAGGAGCTGCGATACACACGAGCACGGATAGCCGTCCCGTCCAAATTCTGTAGCAATCTACGACAATGTTGGGGCAAGCAAGACCTACATAGCTTTGCTTTGCCTCGCTCAAATCAGAAGCGTCAATTGGTTTGGCGTTGTGCGACTCGCACATCTACATACCTCCGGCTCAAACAACACTCCAAGCCGAACGGCCCGCAAGCAGGTCACTGCGAATGCTACTGCTGGGGAATGATATCTCCGGAAGCAGGTTGGTGCCTCAACCCGCGGAACTTGCTTTAGAAGGATCGTCTCCTGTATCTTGGGCACCTTCATACGCACGCGGCTAGCACATAAATGTGGCGGTATGCAAACAAGCTCCAGCAAGTTCAAGACGATCCAATTCGAGTACTCAATTTCAGCCTCGACCACTTTCTCCTGGTACAACACCGTGGGAACCTGAGGCAAATACACCTTTCAGCTCTTCGGCCCGGACGTCTGAAACTTTCCTTCCTCAGCTCCTCACCTCCACGATCTGCTCTTCGATTTGCACCTATTGACAGAGCGTCACTGATCTTGTTGTGGGCATGGGCTTGACCCGAACCTCTTGCATTGGAGGATTCGCACAAGGCTCGACACAAGGGCCCGAAGCCATTGCCTGGTCGCACTACACACGGCAGTTCCAAATCCAACATGACACTTGCACGTCAATACTCAAGCTTAAGCTTTCGGAACTGCCGATGCCATTAACCTGTGCCTGTGCACGAAGCGCACCGGCGGCAAGTACTCCATGACCCTGGAGTACATGTTAGACTTGACAATGAAAGGTCGGAACATAAACCATCACTCCTCGCGGTTTGGGCCAGGTCGGCCGGGTCGGCACGACCCCCACATGGCTCGGGTCTCGGGTTGGACCAAAAGCTAATCGTGGATCGGCTGGCACCTGGGTCTGGACCAACGGGCCTTTTTGCAAGGCTACACGGCAGCGCTCCCTGTGAAGACTAGGACGGAAACTACATCGCTTTCCAAACTGCATCAATGCATCGCCTGGCTAAAATGCTCATGAGAAGCTCGGAGCCACAACTTTTATAACAAAAAACGACTGACAATATCCCTACGGTGCCTCACCCCCGGAAAAAAAACACTAGTGTCCAACTTTTGGGTTTTATTCCATAGTGACCAGTTTGCATGTTCAACCCCATTGCTGCATCGGCCATCAACATCAGCCATCCATGACGTCCATTGACTTGCAATTTGGGCTTGTGTTAACGGACGATTATATGGAATCATGGCAAGCCGGCATACGTGGTGACATTGAATGAAGCGTTGTGGTAATAACGGCAACAACATTGACATTAAAAACTGCAAGTTTTCGTTGCAGCTGGCGGCACCCTGCGCCCCGACATCACTAAGCAGCTGCAAAATATCGCAGGAATCGATCTTTAGTTCCCGTGAAACTGGAATCGTAACAACTTGTGGCAAGTAACCCCGGCAAGTTCTGGCAAGTTTCGGCCAAAAGACTTGTCTGATTGATGCGGAAACTTTCTGATCAGGAGCGTGAGGTCGCAGCGAACAACCGATAGTGAACAGAGGGCGGCAACCAAAAAAGCCTCGACCGCTAGCACGTGGAGACAGAGGCTCAAGTGTCGCATCCAAGCAATGACGTTCAAATGCACAAGATCATCCAAACACACAAACAATATTCAGCATGTGTAAGCGTTGCGAACTACGCTAGCATTAGTAAATTAAGCATGGAAACAATCCTTTAAAAAATAGAAAACATTGCTCATTTCAACACCACATTCGATGTCATGTCGCGTGTGTGTGTGTGTGTGGATATATTATTTTGTATATCATATATGATATATAACATGAGAAATATATTATTTAATATATAACATTTAAGGTACAATATGAAATACATGATATGTAGTTATTATTGTATAAATGAAGGATAATACGCAATATCTAATATTTAGTATTTGATATCTGGTATAAAACATAACATATACAACACATAATACGTAATAGAATATATATAGCATATGTGATAAATATATACATTTTTGAAAATTGTAAAATGAATCCTTTGAAATTGTACATATATATATAGTATATGCAATAAACATTGCGTGGGGGATTGATCTCGACTAGGTTGCTGCTCTCCCCACCAGAGCTGTAATGAATATAGGTGTGGCTGGCTTGCACTCTCCACAGACTGGACCCTGTCTCTCTTACGCTTCCACACGCGCAATCCTATGCAGGCAGAACCGGCGGCCGTTCCTTTTGCACTCACTGCCGGCGGCGGTTCGTCTGTGCAACGGGATAGCTCTGATTGCTCAGGATAGAAGACACTTATAGCACTTAGCTATGGGCATTGACTTGAGCCAAACGTTGCGTGGGCGGTCACATAGAAAGGTAAAGATGAGGGACGCGTAGCGTGCCCCCTTAGAGTCGAGGGACGCGTAGCGTGCCCCCTTCTCTTGCACTTTACACGGTCTTGCTCACAGCTCTTATAGTGACACCTTAGAACTTGACAAGGCATCGCAGTCCGTTCGCACCCCCCATGAGTTGCGTCTCCGACGCTGCTCACCCGGAAGATGGCACGATAGGACAACAGAAAATGTTCCGCCGCAACGTTGGCATTGAAAATCAGAGCTTTGCATCCCAATTAGAAACGTTGTGACACTCATCTACGTCAGTAACGATCCCCTGAAATGGCAAACGAATCAGGCGTCACCGAAGAAAGAAGCATTCGCGATGGCATTCCATGGGCGAAGCTCAGAGGTCACGAACTGATAGGCGAGGAAGACCAAGCGTTGATTCATCTCCATCTTCGCGTGGTCGCAGGATCGCGGTCCCAGGGCCGGAGGTTTTCCTCTGGATACTGTTCCCTTTGCTTTCCTTTGTCCTTGCCTTTGTTTCGGCCTTTGCCGGCGGTGTAGTCATAGTAGGTGTTGGCGTTCCAGCCTCCATGCTGTTCACCTCCGGTTCTCTCACGCCCTTTTGAAGGTCCCTTGGCCGAAGAAGCGCTTGCACGTTCCTCCGTAGTGACAGGCGTGTCCAGGATGGAAGTACCACCTGGAGGGAGATAGTCAGCGGCCGAAATGTGGTGTAGGGCTTCAGTACGCTTGGTCGTCGGGTTTTGCTGTCTCTCAGCCTTGGATCTGTTCAATCTGTCCATGAAATGCGCAGGCATTTGCACATTGTGGTCCACCAGCAATCCGATGGTCTGGACTGAATGATCGGAATGAGTCAGCAGGATACCGACGGGGTCGATGTACAAGAAGTCCACCGGTCCAGTTGGCGTTGGTCGTAGCACTGAGAATTGTTGGTGTCCCGTCACCATCGGAATCACCTCGCACAGGACGTTCAGGCAACAAAAATGCATAGCCTTCACATCTTCATCCCTGTTGCTCTTCAAGTACGTAGTAGGGTTGAAGTTGTCCCTGCCAATTCCCATCATGTTGGCTCCCCGTGTAATCAACGAAAGCATCTGATTCGTCCGGAAGCGCTTCAAAGTGTAAGTCCCGTTGGGATCATACTGCTTGAAGTTCTCAGGTTCCTTGGCAAAGCGAATGATCTCCTCATCAGTCACATCCCTGCTCACACCAGTCTCTCTGTCCACTACAGCCAATGATCCCCATTTTCCAAGCACATCATAACGTTGGCCAAGTGCGAAATTCTCCTTCATCTGAAACAACGGCATAGTAGCCCACTTCGCGAAGCCTGACCAAGCCTTGTAGATGGTCCTGCATACCACGAAAGCCATATACGAAAGAGCGACCATGTTGGCGTCGATGCAATGGGCATTTCGCTTCCCTGAGTAGTAGGATGGCTGCATGGCGGTACGTGCGAGTTGTAGCTCAGGATCGATGTTCAAAGACTGGCCGGTGATGAAGACGGGACGGCGTTCCTGTGCAACTGCATCTGGTACTGCGTCATCAAAGTCCTCTCCTGGCTCTATGTCCATTTCTTCATCAGGTTCCTGTTCTGGATCGTCCTCCGCGATGACAGATGGTTCTGGGATTTCCTCAGGTTCCGCAACGGTCTCTACCTCCATGGCTTCCTGCTCCTCTTCGGGCGCCTCAGGCACTGCTGCTGCCGCGGCTTCCATTGTCTGAGCAATGAAGTCACTGGGGATCTCCGTAGGAGTCTCCCGTTGTGGAGAACCTTGGTAATATCCGCTAGAAACGAACTGTGACCAGCAAGACGTGCATCGGGAGAAGCATGCTGGAACGATGTTGTAGCATGCCGGGCACACCCTCATTCTCCTTCCATCCTCGTCTCTGCGTAGGTCTTCGGGTCGCCAATTCTTGATGACAAACTTGATCCCTTTGTCCATGTAGTGATGCCGAACCGTGTTCTCCCTGTGGGACTCCAGGACAGTCGTAAGGTCTCGAATGATCTGCTCCTTGCTGGTGTCGTGGGGTCCAGGAGGCATTTCGCAAAGCAATTCCATGATCTTGCTCGGCGTTCGGTATCTCTCGAACTCAGGGAGCAACGGTGATGCATTGTAGTCCAACACCAGCTCTTTCTCCAACCGTTCATCGTAGATCTTTTCCACCAGAGCGAAAGAGTGTGTATCTTGAGGATCCGGGACGCAAAACCATACCTCCTTGACGAACTGGAACGGTATCGTTCGGCCAACGATCATGATGCCGCTGTCTGTGATACGTCCATCTTCTCGTGCAAGGTCCTGCGATGGGACATGAAGGACCGCCAGTGGCATGTGCTTGGCATCTCGTCCATGTACCCGCATCTTGGTCGTCGCATTCCGGTGATCGAACGGTGCAAACACCCCCCAATAGCTGTGGAGTCTGCCGCCTTGGTTGCCTCGAAATTGGCGCCTATGGTCGAAGTCCCCGTCGGGGTCCTCCGAACCAGGCATGATGCCTTGCGTGACAATGGAATCCAAGTTGCGGCATGCCGTAGCGTGGAACGCGCCTCCAAGACGTTGCAAGAGGGTCATAGATGGAGATATTGCGAACCTGTTCTTGTCCAACTGAAGCAAATTGTTCTGGGGATCTGAGTGCGCAGAGTGACCACTTGTAGCCCGAACTGCCCATGGCTTCACCCAGCCGTTGCAAACGTTCAGGTACCTCTGGCTGTGCCGGCAACGATCATTGTTCTGGATCTCCGTGATCTGGTCAGGAATCGATACCAACATGTTCGAACCTGCGGATCCAAGAGTTTCCACGCCGGGGTCCTTCACTCTCACTCCCAGGAACTGCAACCGAATCTTGGCCTTGTGGCGTTTCGTGGCTGCGAGCATGTTCCCTTGGAACAATAGCTGAAGTCTTTCATTGTACACTCTCTTCCTCTGTTGCTCATCGGACCATGAGACCGCTTCGGTGATGCGTCTGCTTTCATGGGTCCATAGTTGCTCATGCCTCACCAAGTCTTCGATCAGCACCCACCCTCCTTCATCACATCGAATGACGCTGCTGAACGCTACCTGGCACCTGTTGTCAAGCCATTCCGAGCCTGGGCGCCTGGCGATTCTGTGACGCAGGTCAGATTGGATGCATGATAGCGCCCAATCCGCGTTTATTCTGCGCTGACGGGTGATGTTGCGAAGGACAACTTCGTTCACGATGTCCCATCGATTGTTGATGAAGCTTGCACCCTTGGTTGGGATCAGGTCGAGAATTCCGCACCGGATTGGCCTTCCGCCGCCGATGCATTCATAGCCTGCATTGGTGTATCCCTGAGTGGTATCGTCAAAAGCAAAGCTAGGACGGTCTCCTCGTTGAGGTAGGCGTCGGTCGCGATGGTCCGAAAGCTGCTCAATGAGGTCCACCACCCGCTGGCTATTCTCTGGTCCTGATTCCTGCAGTGGTAAGATTGTGTTTGTTCTCATAACGGATCAAGACCACATCACCCCGTACGGC